AAAGCCTCTGTTGCGTTATCTACAAAAGTTAAATTAACTATTGATCTAACTATATTGGCTTGTACCCAGATACCGTGATCCATCTCCTCAGTGCCTCGATCCTAATTACAGACTGAACATCATTTGAACATTGCATCAGTACTTTTTGATATATTGGTTGTCTATTAAGAGCGAGTGTTATCATTAATCTCTTTGAGAATGTCTTCGGAATTATTCTATTGAAAATTTATCACAGATGCGCTACAGCAACAAAGTCATTTAAACCAAAGCACAAAGGAAATTCGTATGGTCTGGTGGTTCGTTCCGTAACTCAGTCAGTAACGTCAGCCAAGATATGGCGAGGTCGCTGGTTCGAGGCCAACCGGATCGAAGGATTTTTTCTCTCTGTTCGATTTTTGTTTTAATAATAATAACAAACTTCGATCTCGATTTCGATTCAAGTCCGACCGGATCGAAGGAATTTTTTCTAGGTGTTCAATCTTTGTATTAATAATATAAACTAGAGGAGTAATATCACAAAAAATAATTGAATATCAATATAAATTTAATTACAGTTAATAGCAACATCTCTAGCCAGGGCTGGTAGCTGTCGAGCTACCTAACTAGGTGACGAAATACTTTCATAGATTTCTCATAGATGGCGCTACGGCTAAAAGGTCGTTGAAAAACCAAATACAAAGATCCGACAACAAGCACATAGCAAAAATGAGGTCCGCTGCTTCGTTTAGTTGGCATGGCGTCTAGCACGGTTTGCTAGGAGACGTCGGTACTAAGCCGGCCGGATCGGAAGGATGTTTTTCTAGGTATTCGATATTCGTATTAATAAATATAACAAACTAATGGAGTAATTTCACTAAAAAATATTGAATATTTTGGTAGCAAAACTTTCACAAATAAGCTTAATGAAATGTGAAACAGAATTCAGTTTATGTTTCCATACTAAATTGTAATGTATTTAGCTTTCTTCATCTCAATCAATAAAGAATTAACAAAGAAACTTCGTCCAGTTCCATCACAATATACATTGACTTACAAATAAATGGACGACGGGTCTAATACAAACACCACGAAAAAATGTAAAGGAATATGAAAAAGCTAAAACGTTGAATTTAAATTGTAATGTCATCGCAGTACTGTCTAATTTTGCTTGCTTCGCTGTCAGTCGAACAAACGAAGACTAAAGCGTGAATGACGCTCTGTATACGATTTTAACACCCTATAAGGTCGGACACTTTTTAGCGCGGACCCGACGTCCATACAATTGTAAGTCAATGACAATATACTAGATATTATTCACTTTGACAATACTTCATAAATAACGGAGAGTGTGATATGGAATTACACGATTTAATTCTGCCTTCCCCTTTCCATCACCGGGGGAGTAGGCGTAGGCTTGGGCTCCACCCGTATGTTGTGGATATTCCAAAGATTCACACGAAGCGTTATGCTTCCACATATAAATGGCGAACGGCTATGGAGTGTAATTCCCTGCCTACAGACTTCTTCAAGGCGAAAGTGAATAGGCATTATTTAGGTGCGTATGCTCCATCATCGTCCCTTTCCATAAGGTGAAATGGAGGTCAAATGCGCACTTATAATATATATTATAAAAAACGTGACATGTAATCCTTCCCGCTCAGTCGGTTTTTTTGGAGCGGATAGGTGTCGGAGTTCTAAAGAAACATCGTTTCTTTCGGCGCGGTATGTTCTGTCGACGCAGACAAGTCTGCAATCCCCTTTACGAAGCAATAGATGGAGAGGTGGTACCCGCCTCGACGGTTACTGCACCAAGAGCACTACCACTTACTAGTGTCTTCAAACTCTCCGTGCGTAATAGCATTATTTTACAGGGCTAAAAATATCGTGACTGATAATAACGATGCGCAAGATCATGAATGCCGTTATAGCCACCTTGACATGAACATAGTATCCACCTGCCAAAATTAATTACGTCACATCGAATGTTTATGATAATCTTATAGCATGTTCTACTGCATTGTTTATTGTTCCTACTCGTTCTATGAGACACTATCACCCTATTGCAGTTCCCTTAGTGAGGGCTAACTGTAGACAAAATAGTTTTCTATGCAGAGCTAGCAAGAGCTTGAATAGTGTGCTGAGCAATCATGACCTAGAAGTTGATGTATATTCAATTGTAATTTTGATGCGCTAAATCGTAAACTCACGGATATTTTATTTTCCCAAGTTTATTAAATAATTTGTGATTAGCGCAGGTATTGGAGTGGTATATTTATATAAGTGCATGATGTTAAGAAATACTGTTTATTGTTCGTTTGATTAATACTCGTGTATAATTTGTTTGAAGCTGTAGGTGGAAACCTGAAATTGGCTTTGTGTTTATGTTCCTGTTTTTTATTAAATGTAAGAAGATGTCCATGAATGAATGAATAAATAAATACGAAAACCGCAGTTTTCTCATTAGTACTTACTATAATCATGAAAGAAAATATTGTGATAAAATCTGATCAGAGAAACTTCGCCTAACCAAACCCTGCAGATTTTTGATCGAGTACAGTTTTCTGTGCTACAGTTGTAAGTTGTTTATTCTGGAGTTTTTATACCCCTCTACCCGCTAAAACCACCACTCCGTCTGCCGGTGCCTGTGCAAGGAGACAGATGTGCGCAAACCCCATTCAGGGTATAGTTATTTTTGATACAAGTGCGGAAAGTTAGTCACTATTCACGAGTCTCCAGAATTCAGACTCGAGACAAGTAAAAATGACAAATCCGCACGTGTATCAAACGACGTTTTTTAATACATTTACGAAAAAACTACATTGAAAGTAAAATAAAACAGTATATTTTAGAGGCGCGTAATACTCACCTCCGGTCATTGTTAATACTCAATCAGCCATCTTTATGGAAAATATTTTGGTACTTTTAAATGTAATCTGTTGTTTTATAAAACACCTATGCAATTTAAACAATTAAGATATTTGTAAATAAATATAAGTTTTAATGACGAATGGCTTACGTGGTAGATTGACAATCTGTGGCTGAATGTGGTAGATTGACAATTTACCACTAGCTTATTTTCAAAACCCAGCATCGTCTTCGTTGCGAGAGTATATACATAAAAAAAAATACCGAGCTTCTTCGTCTGTGAACATTTTATGTAACCGCGTAAAAGAATCTCAGAATTCAATGACGATTCTGTAGAAGGACCTTCTATCAAAAGTGTCAAAGTACCAACCAGGTGCCCTAAAATGGCGTCAAGTATGTCCATAGGCCATCGGTAGACAAATCATGTTAATGAAGGATGTCATAAGTACAATTTTGTCCAGAACATACTGTTTCGTATAGTCAACAATGTGCTAAGGCGACAAAAGGTTTAAGACTGAATAATTTACTTTAATTGCATTTATTATGAGTATAACAATACTTGCAAAATAATTTAGTTAGTAAAAGAAAATAATATTTTTGTCGATTTTTTATGACACAGCACGAAAAGATCTGACATTTTGTAAAATAGATATAATTTAAAAATTTATACTTAAATCCTTAAATCTATAATTTTTAATGAAAATTCTTGGAATAATGCCCTATACATACGAATGTATGAAATAATTTGTTAAAAAGTTCTAACTAATATACAAAAAAAAAAGGAAATTTGGGGTCATAATGACCCTCCTCATTCTAGACCTACTCTTTTCGTACCACATCCACGCCGCCGCCACCAGGTTAAATAAGACGAAAGGGTTTAGGTCATATAAAAGTTCACTCTGGTCCGATGCGGATTTAGGTTAGTTAGTTATCTCTTTTCTTGAAAGAGACTTTTTGATGTAGATGAAGCACCACTTGCAATTAATTTTCTCGGTCCTAATGAATATATTTAAAGGTTTTAATTAAGAATATAATTCAAGTTATAATCTTCGTTGTACAAACTTCAAAAAAAAAAAAACGACTCTCCATTATATTATTTTGAAAATTATTGTCACACAGAAAATAAATAGTAAAAGAACAAATTATGGGGACATGCTATTTTTTCGCTAATTCGGAATTAAATTAATAATAATTAATTAAATTAGGGGTTATAGTTATTTTGTGTTAATACTTTTGTGGTTTTCTTTACAGCAATCATGGGGAAGGAAAATGATATTGCAGATTTGGCTTACGAAGTAAGTTTAAAACGAAAATAGCGCCATCTATCTTGTTTTAACCGTACTACCAAATATCTAAATTCATATCCTTGTTTCCTGCTACTACGAAGCGTAACATCACACTTTAGTTCCCTCATAATCCGACAGATGTCGTTCAATTCCAAATTTAAAATAGTTAATTCCTTTCTGTCTAGATGGCACTGTTTGTAGCAAAACGATTTTTGCGCTAATTATAACTAAAGTGCCAGTGAAGTTCTTTTCTGTACCTATGTAACTTTCTAAAGTGCAACACTATGCCATTTATTGACGAAAGAAACGTTGGATTTAAACATGTATGTATTATTTTATTGTTTATAGTAAGTACTTGTATTGTTGAGATGTAACTGCATAATTAATCATTTTTAGATAAAATTGCCTTTTCAAGTTTAAAACTATTGTGAAACAAATTCTTGTGATATTTTTACAAAATTATTGTAAATTATAAATGTATAAAATAACACAAAGTGTTAGGAGTATAGTAGTGTGCTTTGTCTATGATTTTAACTATATTGCAAAGTGTAGAACTTTTCAATAAGGGAGAATTGCTATACCCGCTACGCTGCTCGCGACTTGACGATCACCGTCAAACTGCAAAAAGATACCGTACTGACCAATCTTGGTAATTTCTCATTTGGTAGCTGTCTTCTACACTTTCAGGAAAATAAAAACTTTCAATTAGGAAATGAAACTATTTTTACGGATTTAAATCGCGTATATTTGTTTTTTCAAACAAACAAAAAAGTTTCATTTCCTATGTATAACAATCGCGAAAACCTAACTCGATAAACTTTCAATTTTTAAATAATATTTTGTTACAGGCTCGAACTTCAGACGAACTCGGTCGCTACTTGGTTGCAGCTAGAGACCTGTCAAAAGGAGACTTGGTGTTGACTGAGCGCCCCCTGGTCTTTGGCCCTAAGCCCATGGCAGACCCAGAAGCTACCATGCCTTGTGTGGGATGCTATAAACCTGTTTATACTGATGCCGGTGAACGTTGTGCTAAGTAAGTTAATTTACAAATGTCTTAGGGTCGTATTCCAGAACTCTACTCAATGCTTAAGTCAGGACTTGAGTATGATTCAAAGCACTAGAAATCATACTCAAGTTCCTGCCATTAGGGTCGTATTTCCAGTGCTTGTGTTTCCAGTGCAATCCTAACTTGAGCATTGAGTAGAGTTCTAGAATACGACCCTTAGTTTAGTATATATAAATGGTGAAGTATTATTTTTACCGATATTCTTCTTATCGCTTCATCTTTAGAGTAGGTGCTATAGGACAAAAGAGTGAACCGTTTCGGTAACGCACGTGCCATCTGTATAGTATAAACAACTGCTCTAAATACTTTTGCGCATTTGCACTTAATTCTAAACTTGATCATCTTTATGCGGAAATAACTTGTTGAATTAGTAAGAAGAATCGGTAGTCTATATTTTAGGAAGCTTCGTCGTTTTCTAACCTGCTGTTAAAAAACGACCTGTTAACCCTTATACATATAGTCGCGCTAAAACGTTACGCAGTTGGTCGCGTGGGGTGTCCAACAGCCGAAATTAGACTCGTGAAATAAAATACAAAATACACGCAAACTCAGACTTTTATTAATGACAATATTTGAACACACTTATTTCTTGGTTTGTAAATGTCGTTATGACTGATAAAACATTTTATTAGTAAAAAAAACAATGACATTCGTAAAAGCTTATTTTCTTCATCACAATTTTAGCAGATTAGAATGATGTTATCATTGCACATATTGTTATGTTTTAAGCCTTTCGAAAATATCGTCTTGGTTTTCGGTCCGTGATGCAAGGACGTCTATGGTATTGTTTATATGAAGGCGACTGGACTGCTCTAGATGCCGATTCAGGATCTTCACTTTCAAGCCTTTTGTGTCATTATTGTAGCGGTCCAGGTGGTGTGCGAATACCTTCGTTTTGGTTTTCGCTTTGTTCTTATGCACAGTTATGATCACTTCACAATTATTTCATGATGTTGTTCACCTTCAAAAGCACTATCAATAGCTTGTTCTTCTTTATTTTATAATTGCTGTACAATCTTTTAAACAGTCAATTCACTTGGCATTTTAAAGCTATTTCAAAAAAATAAATAATTGAAAATTAGAATTCAAAAAAGCGTTTAGCGCACCCATGACTGATACGATGGACCAAGATCGTTAAATCCGTGTACACTTTAAGTAAAAGAAGTGTTAATGGTTTTATTCCCCTATTGTCATAAAAAAAAGCCGTTCCAAGAGATAACATTCATTGGTGCAAATAATATTATAACCTTCCTAGGTTCGACTAAACTTGTAATACAAAATTGAGCCTACTCAAGGCTATTTTTTTACTGTTTTTGACGAAAAGCTTTATTTCTTATTGGTTCAACAACAACTTAACATACTTAACATTTACATACATAACTAATGTGTTTCCGTCCAGTGAAGTTCTGCCACCTTACCTATTTATACGTAATTTATTTTAGTTTAAACGCGACACACACGTCCGGTACTCACTCGGTTTTAGGGTCCACTGAAAATCAGCGTCACAGCCTTGTCCCGGCGGTGACATTAGCTGAGTGGATCCTATTACATACGCCACAGCCGCACACATAACATCTACTTCGTACAGCAATAGTGTTGACCAGTTTTATGATCGAATAATTATTTATTGCCAAAATTTTATTTTTAATTAATTTTATTTAGTTTTCTTTTTTGTTATTCATTTTCTGTTTGTTTTAATTTAGTTTGTTTTAAGTTTAATTTAGTTCTGTTTTATTTTAATTTTTTTTTTTTACTTTTAATTTTTTACTGTTTATTGTTGTGTTGTGGTGTTTTGTAATAAATGTGTTCTATTTCTATTTCTATTTCTATTTCTGCCACCAATTCCGGTTTTGAAGGGTAAGGGGGAAAATTACAGACAGATGGAATTTGTCAACTTATGTTTCAGGGTGACGGGCGCAGTGGCCGTGTTTGTCAGATATTTGCGATTTAAAGCTTTGAATGGCACTTTGAGTTTGACTTGTTCGTCCCGTCAATTGGTAAAGTCTTAACCGCTCACGCGATGCGCTCCTCCTACCGCAAAATGGCGGCTATTTGGTTTCGCAAAATAGAAAAGGATTCAGTTTAAATATAAGTTTTTATAAATAAAAATTATTATTCTGCACTGCTAAATAAATACCCTCCGTATTACCAACAAAAACATCTCAAAAAAAATGCAGTAGTACACCGCCAATCCTGCACTTAAAAAGCACTAATGAAATTTTTGGTGCCCTTGGATAAATATGATAATATTCCGTTTGAGTGGTTCTAACGTTTACCATGAAATGACTCCTTAAAGTATAGTTTATAAACATTTATATTCAAGGTAAACTTAAAAAACGCTACTTACGGTATGTTTTCAATAAATAAACACCGAAATCACCAGCCCAAACAATAACACACACGATTGTCGTGACGTATTTTTGAAGTTGTTTATTTTTTTTAAATGACAGACCCAGGCATTAAAAACTTTATGGTTTGCTAGAGTAGTTACCGAAATAGCAATTAATATTAGTTCTTTTACCTGTTATATATAACTTCGATATCCGATAAATCGGTATAAAATCATCACCGGCACCTCTAGGTGTGGTATGCGTCTACAGCTGCATGTATCGCGTGAGTGGATAAAGTATTTAACCATCATCCTTACCTTTTAAAAGTGAAAGGCAGTAATGCTCTCATTACTACTTGGCGGCAGAATAGGTGGCAGTACTTCCTCGGACGAGGTTTTTCACAAGAAGCTCTTCTACTACTGACACCTGCTACTACTACCTTTCATTGCGGTATTACAAAACAGTTGGTTACATTTGTAACTTATTGAACTGAAAAAAGATAAGTGGGTATTTAAGTAGGTATAGTTTGAAACTAGTCGTACGCTCCCAGGAAGTAACCTACTTCGCGCACAATACTTCTTTTTAAAGTTCAGACTTCGGAGCTATTCGTGGTTTACGGAAGTTGACGATTGTATTGTTCGTATTTCATTCTATTGATTGACTCTATATTTTAACCGCTCATACGACAACTCTATTATAGAACGTTACTGCACTGAATATTTAACCTTATATCCAATCTAGTGAGTGAACAATGGTTGGATATTCCCACCAGTCCTATTATACAGTTCTGTTGACAGAACTACTGGTATTTTAGTAACCAGTTCTCTTCATAGAACTATTAAAGATTTTTCTCTTCTATTAGTTCTGCGAATGACTAAGTTTTCAGTCCAGTGTTAGAGCCTGTGGACACAGGTATTTTATACGCGACTGCGTGACGAGTATAAACGCTGTTTAAACGCGATACAGAATTGAATTCTTCGAATGCGCTTCTCGCGCGTCTGTATCGTGTTTGAATCGATATAAACACAAGAATTTGCTTTTTGAGTGCAACGCGTGTCGTTGGCGCGTATACCTAAAAATGTTATTAAAATAAAATTCGCCAAATATTTTTTATAACTTTCAGCTTGGACTTTACAAAATAGTATCTGCCTTAAGTAGGTAAGTCTTGACAAAACACAGCTCTACTCAGTATTCTAATTTTACTCCATTTAAAACTTTCTTTGTTTTGGGCTAAAGCTGATTATTGAACGTTATGTTGATGTTTTCCATGAAAGGCCAATCCATCCGTACGAATTCTAAAACCCTTTGAAATCGTATTTAGTTCTAATACGATTATCCCGAGAGTTACAATATTGCTGTTTTAGATTAACACTACTTAGGTAAATAAATAACCAGGAAAGCATATTATTTTAAGAAGGATTACACTACAGTACATTCAGCGTCAAAATGATTTAACCTTTTTTTATGATACCAAGTAATGGGACGAAGAAGTTATGGGCCTGGTGGTAAGCGACACACCTGTCCATAACAGTTGCAGTGTCATTCAGAGCTTTAAATCTCAAAGATCTTAGGGACACTATCACTGCGTCAGTCACCCTGAGACATAAGTTGACAAGTCCTATGTGCCTGTAATTTCGCCATCACTCTTACCCTTCAAAAACCGGAACGCGGTAATGCCCACATTACGGGTTAGCGGCAGAAATAGGTAAGTTGGCAGTACTGACAAATCCAAGCAAAGATTTAATGAAAAACACATTTATAGTTTTTACTGAAGAACATATTTTTCTACATAACTATTCTCTAGAGATCTAAATTTAAAAATTTCGTTCCGTGGCTTAGTTGACATAGCGTCTGCCACGGTTTGCTAGAAGACGTCGGTTCGAATCCGGCCGGATCGAAGAAATTTTTTCTAAGTATTCATGTTAATAATTATAATAAACTAGTTGACTAATTTCACAAAAAATAATTCAATATCAATTAAATAAAAATTGAAAATACAGTGAATAGTGACATCTCTGTGTGACGAAATACTTTCATAGATTTCTCATAGATGGCGCTACGGCTAAAATCGTTGAAAACCAAATACAAAATCCGACAACAAGCACATAGAGAAATTAGTGAGGTCCGCTGGTTCGTTCCGTGACTTAGTTTTCATAGCGTCTGGCATGGTTTGCTAGAAGACGTCAGTTCGAATCCGGCCGGATCCAAGGAATTTTTTCTAAGTATTCGATCTTTGTATTAATAATTCCGTGCCTGAGAAGCATTACACTGTAACCGCCACTTTTGTAATTTTACAGAAGAAGTGATTTTGTGTCTAAATGCAGTATGTATAACATTTAGGATGCCATAACAATAAAACTGATAAATTTTTAATAAAACAATGTTCTGATAAACAAAGTTTGATAATTAGAGATCAAGGCTGTTTACACAATGAGATCAATTTCTTACTTTTAGCGATATTTATAACAATAAAACAAAAAACTAGTTCACGTACCGTGTTCCGCTTTTAAACAAAAATCAAATAGAAAAAAATTACCGTAATATAATGTGACACCTCTTACTAATAAAAAAAAAGAACATGAAAATTGTTGTTGTTATTATTATTTTGACTAAAGTAACAGTTGTCAGTATCAGTCATCCCATCACACAGTCTGTACCTGCAATGAGAATTAAAAATACAAAACCATTGTAGGTACCGACTATGTGATGGAATGACTGATTCCGACACAGATTACTTTAGTTAAAAATAAGTTTTTTTTGTTTCTGTTGCTACAAAATTTATGAAGAAGTATCTATTTATGTTCAAAATTACTTTTTATTATTATTTTTTCATGAAAATAGTACAATCATTCCTGATATTTCGGTGTCACGTACGTGTACTATGTACAGTGATCTATCCCTTGTGACGTTTTGGTTCAGGAGCCGTCCAGCCAAAATCAAAATCGTTTATTGTCTGTAGCATAAGGATCAGCGGGAGTGTCAACGAAATTTTCATTATCAAATAATTGAGCTATTTTGCCCAGGTCTCTGAAAATTCTTTATTAATTCATTGTTCTCGTCTAGCTGTGCAGACAGCCCCCATATCTATCTACATACATAAGTTTTGTTTATAGTGACCCTCCCTATCAACCTCTTGGTTAAGGGCACTGTAACTTGTGTGAGCAAGCCCGCACAGGGAACTTTTCAGTCAGGTCTTGGCCCCAGATCAGCCGGTTTGCACGGGCTTCATCCGGTTCTCAAAAGGCCAGTTAGTGCTTGGGTGAGCTGCCCCAGGTGCACGTACAGCACCCTCTGGAAAATAGTCCCAGATATGTACCGAAGCTGTAGGCACGCTAACTTAGTTGCGCAGTGCACAACTAACGGTTGCCACCGTTAAGCAGTCGACTCTAACTCAACTGCCTCCGTGGCCTAACAGTTACCATGCTGGACTGCCACGTAGAGGTCCCAGGTTCGATTCCTGGACCGGTGAAGTATTTGTATGGCCTACATTTATTTATCTCGTGAGTTTGGGTGTAATTTGTGGTTGTTTATGTGCGTGTCCATGCCACCACGACACAGGGTTTACCTAGTGCAGGGCTATGTGGAGTGTGTGCGTTGTTATTGTTAGGTATTAATTACCAAATCTCCTCTTTGGTGGCGGAGCTGTAGGCACGCTCATTTCTCGACGCCGAAGCGTCTCTGCAGTTTCCATAAACCTACGCATCTGAAGGGTCTAGAGGATGTCTAGCTTATCCTCTACTGGCTCTCCGGGCTAGTGCCGAAGATGTCGTAGTGTCTTGCGACAATGTTCGGACAAAGCTTCCGACTTGAAGTGCAACTCACGTGTCCCGCGCATCTCTTCGCTTTAGGCCCTCGTCTAGACCGAAAGCTGCGTTCGAGACAAACGCCCCGGCCACATGTTACCAGGGCAGACGAACGTATTCATTCCTGCAGCTAACCACAAACCCCGGCGAGCCCATACCTAGTCCGGGTCCACCAGAGACGACCGTGAAGGCGTATCACAGGTGGAGGGCTTGGCCCGGATGCCCGCCGTATCCTGGTTTTACCGAGGAGCCCGTAGTCTCTCCAGAACTCCCTATCTCTCGGGTCACTAGATAGAGACAGCACTCGCTGTGCAGACAGACTAACATCACTCGAATGAGAACCTAATTTGTAGCTTTGACATCGAAATTATTGCCGAGTTGATTCATGGCCAATTTGTAACTTCGATATATTGTTAACAGAACCCACTGATGGGATTGACACAGGAATTTTTTCATATTTATAGGTACAGAATTTTTTGTAGAATTTGTGTAAGGATAGCGAGACTATCTAACCTCAATTCGGGCATTTCGCGATATATTCCTTCATAAGGTACCGGCGAATCGTGGTCTATATATTTGTTTTCGTTATCTAATAACATTATACTGTATCTGTACTGAAATTGAGCACAACACTGTAACTCCGAACTTACAATAAAATACTTGGTAGTGGGTAGCGGTCTTACATCAAAATACTTTTAAAGAACTCAGTACCTATGGCGAATTTCGTAGACATAGTTTTATGGATCGATAGAGTTCGAAAAATTATGTAGGATATCGTTAAAAACTCAAAATCGTAAAAAATGGAGTTACAATGTTATGCTTCTCAGGTACGGAATTACTTATTTAAATTTAAATATATATTTTCGTTATAAAATACGAAGTGTTTACGTGATCATAGGATTGTTATTGTCTGATTCCGAATCACTTCATACATTATGTGCATGTACACGGTGCCTTAGGAGGTCAAATGGTCAATTGTATTGACTTCGAGTTGATATTTGTTAAATACGTAGATATTTTATGTTTTAAATCAATTAGACAAAATTTTTGACGTGTATAGTTTAGTTCTTTGTTTTTTGATATTTTGTCTGTTTAAATAATTTTCGCACTAACTATACCAATGCCATATCCTCGTTGAATTACCTACTTATCACACTAAGCGGATTAGGACGGAACAACGTGTTTATGGATATATAATGTTGCTGCGCGCATCTCTATTATCCATCCTAACTTTCCTTGCTTGAACGTATAACTACAGTCCACATCTAGTGCGTAATAGGTTCGGTTCTCAACCTTTTACCAACCAATACGGTCTCGAAGAACAAATAAACATATTCGATATAGCAAAGTTATTTTGTGCCATCGGATTTGATATTTGAGCTTGTGGACACCATTTAGGGAACTCTATACTACTAATGAATTACCCGGTATCGTAATAGGCAAAGCATATTTACTTAAACTGTAAGGAAATAGAGTGTCTAATAATTCTCTCTTGGAAATCCCGGAAAAATGTTTTGATTTTTGGTCGTTTATTTTTAATCATTCCGGGATAGCCGTATTATTGTCCAATATATGGAAATGTGCAAGTTTAGTTAAATATACGCTTACTCAATTAAAACATACCTAGTAATATCTTTTGGGTGCACGAAAGGAGCCTCCCTTCAAAAAGTGAAGGGTTTTCCATTAAGGGCGGGTAGATTTTGACAATTTATAGCGACCATATTGTTGAGGATGCTTCTATCAAATCTGCTGTTTATTGTTCAGTCACTAAAGACAAATCATGATGATAAGATACAGCGTCGAGCAACACGTGCAAATAATAAAAAATATTACCAAAAGTGTTGTATTGTGGCAACGAAACGAAACGCTTAATAGACTGTCTTGGGATCCCCTGAACACGCTTACAAACAGCGGCGAATAAACAACAGATTTGCCAAAAGTAGCCATAACAACATGGCCGCTATGAATTGTCAAAATCTACCCGCCCGTAATGGAAAACTCTATACCATTCCTTTCCTGTACTACTACTGTTTGGCGCACACTAGGCAACATCGAGTATATAACCAGAAATATAGACGAAATAAGGGCCATCCATCCCTGGCAACTCATCGCGCAAATGGGCCTTATATCACTTTCAAATATCTACTCTCGTTTGACTACTACAAAACTAAACTAAACTTTGGTATTATCGTAGAGTTTATTGCGCCTTTTACCCATAAACAACACATTTTCAGATAAATAGTTCTGCCACTGTAACAATACCATGTTTACTATGTTTTACAGATGCGGTTGGCCTGTCTGCAGAGGCAACTGTCCAGGCCTTAAAGACCCGCGTCACCACGGAGCCGAGTGCGACATCCTCAGCTTACGACCTGAATGTGTATTGGATAACATGGCAGATTATTACAGGTAAACCTTCATTCAACGAAACAACTAAAGGATATCTAGAATTTGGACAGATAGTAACTTTTCAGAGATCAGAGAACCCGTACATAGTTACACCTTTATTAGGAAATTGTGAATACAAAGACTCTCAAAAGATTCATTAAATTCTTACAGGCACGATGCTCTTCTTCCTTTACGATGTGTGATGCTGCAGAAGACACACCCTGCGAAGTGGCAGAAACTGCTCCAGATGCAATCGCATATGGAGTGTAGGACTCCGGGTACCGAAGCTTACGAGTAAGCATCCATTTTTACTTTATGTAGCATTAGCTTCAGTCAATTTGGTTTCATCATGATGCAGGCATATTTAAAGGAAATAACAGTTTAATAAAACGTTTTTAATGCCATTCTGACAGATTCCGTTATTTTCTGAAGAACATTTTATATTACACAGACGACGTTTTCTTTAGTCATCACACACACACACAGGTTTCTAGATTTCATGTCTACTTAGTATTCAAGGATATCAACTTATGTTTGCTATATTTTTGTTAAAGAGACATAACTGCAAATATTTGTAAATTTAAAATTTTCTGAAAATACACTCAGTTCTAAGTTATGTTTTTAACCGAAGGCATTCAAAATTTGGCAAGACAATATTACAGAAGTAAACAAAATGGTAGCAATTTTTTTAGTGAAACTGACTTAAGTGTACTGTTTCATTTTCAGCGAAGCCAACGAATTCATCGTCGAGTATCTTATAAATAATTTTTTCAACAAATTAGATGCAAAGAAGAAAAATCTAGAAGTGTCAGCCAATATTATCCATAAAATTTGCGGCATTATAGATACTAATGCTTTAGAAATACGCCATCCTGATGGTGCAGAACTTTTGGCGCTGTACACTAATACTTGTATACTGGAACATAGTTGCATCCCAAATACAAAACACACTTTCAAACTATCACCTGCTAACAGAGAGGATTTGTTCCAAATTACAGTTAAAGTAGTCGTCTCTGTGCTTAAAGATCAGCATATTACCACAATGTACAGCCATGCTCTATGGGGCACGGCAGCAAGACGACAACATTTGAAAGACACTAAATATTTTGCATGCAAGTGCCCCAGGTGCAGTGATCCTACTGAATTAGGAACTTATTTGAGTGCTATGAGATGTTTCGGAGATGGGATCAACCCTTGTGATGGCATTCACCTGCCTGAAGATCCCTTGGATGATGAAACAGAATGGGCTTGCAGCAAATGTAAAATAAAAGTGAGGAGCTCTCATGTTAATATGATCATCTCACAAATGCAAGAACAAGTTGATAGCGTTCAAATGATGGGAGGTTCTATCCCTATGTTGGAAAACTTACTATGTAGGTTATCAACGTTTTTACATCCAAACCATTACCATTTGTATTCGATAAAGCACTCGCTAGTTCAACTGTATGGACGTCAGCCAAATTACATTAGCCTAGAAATACTGGATAAGAAAATAAAGATGTGCAAAGATTTGTTGGCTATAACGAAAATATTGGACCCTGGTAATGCTAGGTTGAGTCTATATAGTGCTGTTTTGAATCACGAATTAAACTCTGCTTTGGTTTTTAAATCTAAAAAGGCCAACGCCGACGGTACACAAAAAACACAGGACGAAGTTAAATCATTACTCTCTGAAGCTAAGATAGTTATTGAGGAGGCTTTGGTTTCTTTGCAAGATGATCTGGAAGAAACAGCTGGAAAGAAACTTTATGCAGTTATAGAAAGTAGTAAAAAAGATTTTGAAACATATTGTAATAAAATCAACATATCATTTTAAATATGATTTATTGACAGCAGTCATGTTATTTACTTTTGTACTTATTACTAACATTATTAACAAAATAAATTTAGAAATAATATCACAGATTGATCTTTGAATTATACTATCGTTGATTTAATAAAATCCTCTAGAATTGTTTTATTTTATTGATGCTTTGTTGTCATTTGCATACTCAGCGCAGACAACTCTCGAACAATAATCGTTTTGTAATCACCAAGTCAAAATCCTTTCTACAAATTTTTCATTTATTTCAACCAGTTCTAAACAATTTTCTGTACGAATTGCCTAATTTAACTTCATCGTCATTTACACTCTGAACAATCCAGTCAGTATATCTCGATACTCTAGTATAGATCCCGGGCATTCGTGCTCTTGCACAGCCGCTGCCAGTTGAGACAACTCCGACTACCATAGCACGCCCTTTATCTCCTTTGATCATTAGGGGACCACCGCTGTCAGCCTGAAAACGATTATAAATGAAAATTCTTGATACCTCTTCAAGGATGTCAAGTTCATTTTGCTTTTAGTTTTGCTAAAATAGGTTTCTTATAAAAATCATTCAAAATTTTTTATTTTATGATTTGGATATAGATTTTGTATGGCGCATCGATGTTACAGTTTACAAATGTCGACTTGCTAGGGACCACGTTAAAAGTTATTTCTACTTATTATTTATGAGGTAGGCTCTTGTTGGTAGAGTAATTGACGGCCCCAGTGGTCGAGTGGCTTGTACACCGGTTTTCATGGTCTCGCCATCTCTGAGGTTTCGGGTTCGATCCCCGGACGGGTCGGTGTAGAAAACTAACTTTTCTATATTGTCTCGGGTCTGGATTTTTATGGTACCGTCGTTGTTTCCGATTTCCATAACACAAGTGCTTTAGCTACTTACTTTGGAATCAGAGCAACGTATGTGATGTTGTCTAATATTTATTTATGTTTATTTAATCACCGACGATATATATTTTTTATCTTTATTTATTCTTTTCGTTCTCTTATTTGATCTAAATAACACCGACCCCTTTTTCCTTGGATCTTTCCCTCTATGATTCTTCTAAGAAAATTGTCGTATTGTATCAGATGTCCAAACAACACCCGTAAAATATTAACTATGAAAATTTAAGCTGTTTTTTCCACCATTAGGGCTGTAATTGGCGTTGCAATTTAGTATGTATATATCAGTAAAATACTGTGCAGAGTTGTTAGTAACTAGCAACACTTTGAGCTCATTGATCATTGACTAGCTTTATAAATTAACTTTACCGTAGTCAGGCTTCCAAGCTTCCAATGATAACTTTTGAATAAAATTCGTAATTGAAATTAGTGGCTTCCGAATTCTGAGAAAACATTGTGGTCGACACTCTACACTTACATAATTTTGCAGCTAACGCTTCTCATGCAATCTATGGTAAAACAATGTTATTAATTAATAAAATCATAGCCAGAATTATTTTCTCATTACCCAACAAGAATCCCTGCCTCCCTGTTCATGACCAGCGCACATCTGTGTGGAGATGACCTTCACTTTGCTGCCCTGAGACTGGTACCATTGGTTGCACTCGTCATTTGTCACCACTACCACATCCGTTTTTTGGAGGACGTTAGGTCGCGACCCTGATTTAAAAAAGTCTGGATTGATTATTGACATAATAAGATCCTATTTGTACGAAACATAATTATAAAGATATGCCTATTGGATATTTGCCTATTTCGATGTTTTTAAAATGATTTTGAAAGGCAGATTGTTGAGTCACGCATGCTGTCCTCGTAGTCTTAACTAACGCATTTGCAGTTTGGTACCTTTCGAGATAGTGACATCTAAAGTTTTTTATTCATGCAAAAATATCAATTACGCTGATTTTTCATAACAATAAAACTGAAACTAAATAATATAGATCTCGTTTCGTGATTTCCAGATATGTTATTACCTCAATTTCGCTTAAAATGTCGATTACATTATTTATGGTAATGAGGGCAGGATGGTATTGAACTTTTGAAATTAGTGGCGCTAATACCACGTAATGCAATAATAATTATGATCTAACATTACCTTATATTAGGTGTTTACTTGAATATTCATTATTATGATATATATATCTAATAGTATTTATCATAATTTATTATACATATGTTTTTTGTATAATAAATAAGTGACGGGACGAACAAATCGTGCGCCTTATGGAAAGAGGCACGCCTGTCTATAACCCTTCCCTGGATGACAATAAGATTCCGGAGCATATATTAAGTTTATCATTTCCTAAGTTT